CATGATTTTAACCCTCCAAATCCACTCATAAAGAAACCTTTTGTGACCCCACCATGTGAGATCCCAAACCTGCCTCCACTACCAGATATTCCTAAATCACCCATGGCAGAAAAGGTTGACACGATCCTAAGTGATGATATCAAAATTTAACGGGAAAAGCAACCAGGAAGGGAAAACTGAGAGAGAGAACCAGGGGAACAGCAACAGCCAGCAGTTTTTATTCTCAAAGAAAAAACCAAAGAGACACAATAATGGGAAGAAACATGAATGGGGAGACCAAAGGGAAAAAGAGAAGGGGGAAGAACCTAATAAATGAGCATTAATGAGCTAGATTTAAGTAGAGAACTAGTAGCTCACCAATTTTACAATCCAAAATGTTTTGACCCCCCCCCCTGCCAGCAATTTTCTGCGAGTTTCTTCGAGGAGTAACTCGCAAGTTTTGATGCAAGCAAAAATTTATGAAGGGCCCCAAAATTTTGCAAGCAAAAACAGACTCTTCCTAGATAAAAGAAATACTCAAATATATCAAAAAAGAGACACTTTTTATAATATAAAGATGCTTACAACAAAAGACGCTTACAATCTATGACACAAACACAAATTAAAGACACCTAAAGGAGCTTGCCAATCGTTGAGAAGAAGTAGAATGGTACTTGCGGAGAGAAGAAGGAGGCAATAAGTCCAAGACGAAGATATGAGGACAAGCTCGCAAGCTTTCCTAGGAGAAGGGAGGAATGGAACAAGCTCGCAAGCTTTTCCATGAAGAAACCCATAGGTTTGTATCCAAAAACTAGCCACATAACCATCCTTTTATGCTTCAAAACATCTCTAATATATAGGCACAAAAGGGGAGCCAAACAACCACCTAAAACACATTTAATATCTTAATTAAAAGAGGGAAATAGAAGACCAAAAGACAGCAAAACTGCACAGAAAACAGGGAGCCAAGCCACGAAAATCTCCACCCAACAGCCACGGAAAACCCAGCCAGCAAAGGATCTGAAGAGCCAGCACAGAAAACAGGGAGGTAATTCACGGGAAACAACGAGGAGGAGGGAAAACGAGGAGGGCCACAGGAACAGCAACAGCAAGCAGAAATCAAGCAGCCCAAGGCATTGAATTACATGGAAGAAACCAAAGAGACACAATAATAGGAAGAGATAAGCTTGGGGAAACCAAAGAGACAAAGGAAAATAGGGAATGAATCTAATAAATCTTCAATTTATGAGCTTAAGACTCTACTAGATATTAATGAGCTGACATCTAGTAGAGGATATTAAAGCTTACCAAAAATAAAATTCAACTTGATTTGACCCCCCCCCTTGCCTACATCAATTCTCCTCCGGTTGAAAGAACTCATCACCCAATAAGGAAGCTTTTGATTTGATCTGAGGAGACGAAGGAAATGCATCTAGCTCTTGAATCTTTGCCGCATACTTCTTCAGGATTTCATCTCGCTCTTTCTTGAATTGTTCTTGTAGAAATTTCTTTCTCTGCTCGAATTTCTTTGAACACAAGAACATTTGATATTGAATTTTATACAACTCGTTTTGTAGGGGATTTGTAGAATTTCCTTGCGATGGAATCCCTTCTATAGTTGAAATCTTCACATCCAGAATAGTTGGTTCATTTGTAACTTTGGCGGGGTCAAATTCTCCTTGGGACTCATTTGAATCTTGATCTGAATGATGATTACATGGACTATCCATATAGACTCAAAACAAAAACTCAAAAAAAAACCTCTTATGACACCAAGACTCAAATAACAACACAACTCAATAACCTAGGATATACTAACTTGCTTTGATACTATTTTGATGCAAGCAAAAATTTGGGAAGGGCCCCAAATTTTTGCGAGCAAAAACAGACTCTTCCTAGATAAAAGAAAGACTCAAATATATCCAAAAAGAGACAGTTTTTATAATATCAAGACGCTTACAATCTTTGACACAAACACAAATTAAATACACCTAAAGGAGCTTGTCAATCGTTGAGAAGAAGGATACAAGTGGAATGGTACATGCGGAGAGAAGGAGGCAAGAAGTCCAAGACGAAGATAGGAGGACAAGCTCGCAAGCTTTCCTAGGAGAAAGGAGGAATGGAACAAGCTCGCAAGCTCTTCCACGAAGAAACCCGTAGGTTTTTATCCAAAAACTAGCCATATAACCATTCTTTTATGCTTCAAAACATCTCTAATATATAGGCACAAAAGGGGAGCCAAACAGTCACCTAAAACACATTTAATATCTTAATTAAAAGAGGGAAATAGAAGACCAAAAGGCAGCAAAACTGCACAGAAAACAGTGAGCCAAGCCACGGAAATCCCCACCCAGCAGCCACGGGAAACCCAGCCAGCAAAGGATCCGAAGAGCCAGCACAGAAAACAGGGAGGTAATTCACAGGAAACAGCCAGGAGGAGGGAAAACGAGGAGGGCCACGGGAACAGTAACAGCCAGCAGAAACCAAGAAAACAAGCAGCCCAAGGCATTGAATTACATGGAAGAAACCAAAGAGACGCAAGAATAAGAAGAGACAAGCTTGGGGAAACCAAAGAGACAAACGAAAAGGGGGAATGAATCTAATAAATCTTTAATTTATGATCTTAAGACACTCTACTAGATATTAATTATCTGACATCTTGTAGAGGATATTAAAGCTTACCAAAAATAAAATTCAACTTGATTTGACCCCCCCCCTTGCCTACATCAATTCTCCTCCGGTTGAAAGAACTCATCACCCAATAAGGAAGCTTTTGATTTGATCTGAGGAGACGAAGGAAATGCCCTCCATCAACAGTTACACTCCAAATTTGGAACCAGTTGATTTTTCCAATGATCCTGAGACTATAATGATTGCTTCTACTAGGCCTCAAGGAAAGATCTTTACATCTTCTACAAGCAAGATAATGGAATTTGATTATCCGATTCTAGAAGTTCAACCACTCCATCAAACTAATGAAGACATAACTGATCATGATCCTCATTAAACTAATTATTATGATTGAAGTATTAGGAGTGACGACAATCTAGGGGATAAGTTTCAAATTCTATTTACAAGATATAGGCTATAATTAAAATCATATATATTATCATTTTATAATTTTCACCAAGCTTCAAGAAAGGCAATCCAAATGAGGTTTTTTTTTTTCTTTTGTTGTTTTCACGTATTCTTGGATGGTTCATCCTTTGACTACATGCTATGAATTTGATCTTCTGTATTTTTCTTTGTACTCATGTAATTCTAAGTAATTTCCTTCATTGTACTTATATTAATTTATTCTTATAATATTGTGCTTTAAAAAAAAGCTGATCATGCAGCTTATCTTCCTTGCCCACCCAAGATAAAACATAGCGTATGTGTAAGTGTTCCAGATCTTTATTGCGTAATCTTAAAGATGTGCATTTTCATACTGTATATAAAACTCTCCAATACCTCAAAGCAACCAAGAAAAAATAATCTTATCTAAGAGGAAAAAAAAACTCGGCTTAAATCATACATAGATGCTAACTAGGCAAGATTTTCATGTATAGAACTTCTATTACAAATTACAACATCCTGTTAGGAGAAAATCTAATCACTTGGAATAGTGAGATGCAGTCAGTAGTATACAGATCTAGCTCTAAAGTTGAATTTCTAGCATTGGCCGAAGGAATTTGAAAACCAGTGAATTAAAATCATCATAAATGGCTTGAGAATAAAATAGGAAGATATTATGAAATTATAATGCAACAACATATCAGCCATCAGCATTACACACAACCAAACAAACATGACCTCAATAAAAACATAAAACTATCAACATTTCAACAAAGAAAAACTAGAAAATGAATTTATATGTGTCATATATGTCCACACATAAGCAGTTGGGCGGGAATATGACCTAGAGACTAGAGCTCTGCATTTCTTAATATCAACTCCATGTTAGGCATAAGAGAATATCTAATATACAGCTTGAGGAATGCTGGCAATGCAGCAGCCCAGCTTGGCAATCCACGAGATTACAGGTCACGAGATTCTCTGGTAGTCCAAGTTGGCAATCCATGGGATTGTAGCCGGCGCAACTCCCTACTTAGGAATCAGAGGCAGTAAAGGTCATTAGATGTGAAGTATACTTTCCTATTACCATGGATACATATAGAGAAATTAGGTTAAAATATATATGCTATAATAGGAATTTTTTTCAAGTAATTACTGTGATTAGTTATTTTCGAAGGTAGAAAATAGCTTGTGTCGCACAGAATTATGTTATATCAAAAAGAGCGTAGGGTAGGTCCTCAATGAAATACACAGAATTAATTAAGCAATAAATAGTCTTAGTTTAATATTGGTAATATAATTTTTCCTTCCAATTATTTCATACTGGCATCTCACTTCATTATTTTTTTCAATCAAAACTTTACTTTTCCACTGCAATTGGCATAAAGAAGATGATATTTCAGTCCATTTGTGCAACAATCCCCAATCAGTAAATTAGGTTGTCTTGTTGTTTTCTTTGTATGCTTGTATCTTGTTCACATTAACACCTTGTGATTTTCTCACCACATATTCGATGGCAAAGTTGTTTCTGAAGGTATTGCCTTTGTGGGAAGCTATTTTTCAATGACGTGTTCATATGATACCTAGGATTCACAAATTACAACTACTATTGGCAAGAACTGATCAAATCCATAGAGTCCAGTTTTAAACGTTGAAAACCTGGCATCCGAAGATTTAATTAAGATTTAGAATCTTAACTAGTTCAAGATGCATCTTCAAAAAATAGGAAAAAGACTGCTACAAACATCACAATTAATTTGAATTATAGTTAATAAACAGAGCCAAAAACATTTTCAAAAAAAAATCATTTGTAGCTACCTCCATCGTAATGATAAAAGTTGATAGCACAAATATATAGCTTAATTCTGGTTTTATTTCATTGAGGACTTTTTGTTGACTGAAGAATGAATTATGTATGCAAGTTTCGCATATGAAGGTAGCATCCGCAGAAAATAGAATCTTACCAATGGAGAAAATAGTTTCTGAAAAAAACACCAACGTGCCCTGCATTCCTCGGAGTATTTGACAACCATATTTCACATACAGCAGCAACAACGTACCCAACAGCTATCCTCTACACATGAAAATACAGAAGGAAAACCCTCCAATATATTTATTATTGTGTAAAGTTATAAACAAATAATAGCGTTTCACTGTCAAGAAATTAACAAAACAAAATATTTTTGTCATCAAATTTACAAATAGCTGTGAAAATTCATTGTAACCTCCCTTTACCATGGAATTAAGCATGGTTTTTTTTTTTTACTACAAATAAAAAAATTTCATAAATAAATGCTATTGCTAACATGGTTCATTGCATAGACTACAAGCAAGTCAATTCCTTCTAAAGAAAATAACAAAGATTGATATAGAATCATGCATGAAGATAAGCCACATGCAAATCATTTTACTCAAGTCTTGAAGCATCTAAATGAGAATTTAATATATATTGAGATTGATAAGAAAAAATATTACGATTAAGCTCAGTGCATTAAAAGCTAAAACTTTCAATCAAATGTTTGGATGAAAACAATTATTTTTACAATTAGCGATAATGGCACATATAATTCAATAAATTTAAAAAGGAATGAAAAGAATACAATAGAAATTTTAGAGATCAATTTGTTAAATGTGTTCAATATTAAAACATGCATGTGAAGATCACCACTTAACTCTAAAATAGTATTTTTAGCTAGAAGTCAGTCAATGCAATTTGCTATCATGTGTAAATTTATATCATTCAGGACTATTATTAAACAATAGACTTCACAAAAAAATCGAAATTAGCATTCTATCACTGAGGAAAAATAAGTGAATAAGGAGTTCAGAGAATCATGTTTCATGCATTGCACCTGCAAAATACCAGACCAACGGATCTTTTCGACATCAATACCAAATGATAGAGAATTTACTCCATGAAAGTAGCCGCCTGAAATAAGTGGAACTTCAATATTATTGTGATTTGTATGTTTACTAAAAACATAAGTAGACTTCAATTCTGAATGTAGGGGAAAGAAGTAAAAGAAAATTATGTTTAATTTGATAGCATAAAGCATTTTGTTCCCATTTTCAAATCATTTTTTTGTTCTTATCTTTTATTCTACTATTGCTTCATGGTATCTCTAGTAAATTCCTTTAGACTGCCTACAAGTGACCTTTATTGCATCATGCAACCAAACATGAACTCTTTTGGTAATTATATAACCAAAGTACTTTAGTTAAGAGATTCTACATAAACCTCAAAACAGAAAACTTGGGATCGCACTCAGGTTATCCAGCAAACTAACCACCCACAAAACAACTGGCCTGCAAGCGACTTGAATTTAAAATTAAAGTTTAGAGGATTGGATGAGAGAAATTGAAGCACATTGACAGCGATAGAACTCCAGAACAAAGCACAGAACCCACTATCACCACCTTTATTCATCAAGGGGAAATCAATATTGATGTGAAACCACATGCGAAGGAGCTTCTTAAGAAAATTAAAAGTGATTGACAATGGAATTACAATTAAGAGCTTATTGAGATAACAAGTAAAATCATTAAAGGTTCTTAGTTGTTAACTTGCTTAGGCGAAGGAGTACAAGTAGATTAACCAAAACTCCTAGGTAACCAAAGATAGTAGCAATACCAAAAGCTATTAATCAACAATCCGCAACTTAATAAAGAGAGTTTTCACCTTGGGGATGGATCACTCAACTACACTAGGCTTAGCGGAAAAAGGTCTTCAGCACACCCAACGATGCCACGAGGACGGTAGCAACACCAATGGCCTTGATCCACGGAAAGGTCGGCGGTGGCGGAGATGGCGGGGATGGATGGCCTTGGAGGATCCAATCGTAGTCTTGAAATTGGTCGTCTATGACGTCCACGAGAGTAGGCAAGATGCGATTTAGATAGTCCTCAATAGTGTCGTCAAATCCAAATCCAACGTCGAAGAACTGCGAACGAGTGATGTGAATGTCACCGTAGATGTCGTACACGAATCCGCTATCAAGCTCAGGATCCGCCATGCGTCATTTACGG